TGAGTCTTATTATATTAAGTGAAATTATTAATGAAATGTAAGAATTTGATATGAAAGATGATGACACATGCATTTAATAAGGTTAGGGGTAAATGCCCTTTTTATAGGCAAAAAAAAAAAAAACACCTGGAAATCAATTCCAATAAATTTTAATATGCAGTAACTTTGGTCATATAAAATGTAATTTTCCAGCAACAAAATTGTGGCCAGTGAAAATGCTGAGTGGCTAGTAATTTTGGAAAACCACTAGCCACAGTGGCTGGTGAGCAAAAGAGTTAATGTCAAGCCCTGTATACAGTGAATACTTGTATTTATACTTGTATTGCAGTAAAAAATGTGGTGTTTAACCGGAGTACGGTGGTGGGGGTGCTTGACATGTGTCATAAATTAGAAAGGGGTGCATGCTGCAAAAGGTTTGGGAACCACTGCCATAGAAGAACCATTTTTGGTTCCCAAAATAACCTTTCAGTGAACAGTTCCTAAAAGAACCATTTTGAAGAACATTTTAAAAATCTAAAGAACCTTTTTCGACTATAAAGAACCTTTTCTGCATTTGAAAGGTTGCATGGATGTTCAAGGTCTCTTTATAGAATCACTGATGCCAATAAATAACCTTTATTTTTAAGAGTGTACTTAACGTCACACATGGCTCATTCAGTCAGATTGTAGAGCCAGAACTATATTGTTTTAGTGAGAGGCTGTGTCTGTGCACGGCACTCGCTTGACTCTCCATGGGATTCCACCATGTTATATAACCATTTTATGCGGTCTCACATTTTAGAGATTTTCGCTTCATTTTCATTTCATGGGATTGCATTATTGCTGCTCTCATGGGATTGAATTATTGCTGCTCTTACTGCTGCTACTCCTGAGTTTGAAGGTACAAACCAGAAATAGATTTCGTATAGGGCCATCTGAATGGAGCTTTCTGAGCATTGAAAAACCGAGGAGACATTGTGTGTTCAATGATATGTCAAAAATCATATGTAGATTTTTTTATGTATATCAAATTGGCCAAATAGTTTTCCTGATATTTTTTGGTCATTCTTGTATATTTTAAAATCAAAATGTATAAATAATACAAAGGCCTATTTGAAAAATATCAAGAATACTGTCTTTATCCCTTTGTTTGGACATGTATCTGATTTATTATTTATTTGGCAGAGATTTCCTGTTTCACACTGTAAGAGAACTGAAGCAGCACATGCATGTTGTGTTTCTACATTATAAAAATACTTTAACTTAAGCTATACCTATAATAATTTTAATATATTTTGTTTTATTTTAAGCAACTCACAGTTTTCTGTTTTACACAGTCCTGAAAGTCATATCGTGACATTCTTTATCTTTTGAAATGACTGTTTTCTTGTGTCAAACCGTGATGATTTTGACAATAAACAATGCACTGCCACTTTAATTGAGGGTGAGCAATGCTGCGAAAATAGACATGCTGTCAAAATGATCACAACACTACTCCTATAGCATGGGCCGGCCCTGATGCCAGTTAGTTAAATGGTGTAAGACAGCTCTCTTATCACAGCAGCCTGGCTCTCCTTGACATGTTGCTCAGTGAAATCGGAAAAAAAAGGCCCTTCATCAATCATTTGTTGGGTTGGGTTGCATTTAATAGCATGAGTCATGGGTGGGTGGCAGTTTCAAGGCTGCTGTGTTGCAGAAATTGAGCCGCTGCTCACCCAAATACACACTCATGGCCCTGTTTCTCCCCTATATTCTCGATTTCACTAATAACACAAACAATCAATCCATAAAAACCCGCAGACACACAACAATTTGCCTCTGCAGGAATGACAATTCTGTCATCTTTTCGACCCATTTTGGGTTACAGTGAATGACAAGGATCATGTGTAGATGCCAATGTCTGAGCTGCTGTGCTGCAGAAATCGAGCCATTTCTCACCTAAATGCTCACTCCTCACCCCTTTTCTCCCCTCATATGCTTGATTAATCTAAGTCAAACCATTCAAAACTTCAAACACAAAACAATGGTTGCTGGTGTGTAACCAGGTGTAACTCCTAATTCTGATTGGATTAGTTTGTTGTATTTAAGCTAAAAACACACGCTTCTGATCACACATTTTATATTAATAACAAATTTAGCTGGTGTCTGTTTGTTATATATGCATGAGACCCCTGCTTTTAAAACCAAACAATCTTACGAAATATTCAATGAAGTAGAAAGTATAACCGTGAGCCCCCATCTGACGTGATGTGTTATGTAACAACCTTTTGTTGTTATATAGGTGTAAAGGTTATATAGGTCTTCTGTCTATCAAGTCTCTCAAGTCATAAGCAGTTTCTTTCTTTCATTCTTTGGCATTCTCCTTTTGTTGCTGTCCTTCTCTTGAGCAGTCTTGTTTCTTTGTCTGAAGCACTGGGCACGTTGTTTTCATCCTTGTAAGGAACAAGACTGGCTTTGACATTTTCAACACAATTACTAACCTGACTCTCACACAAAAACTAAAGGAATTATTGTCCAGCTGTGTCCTGCTGAAATGTTCATCTGCAGCATCATGGACTGTCTCCACTCGAACCCACCAGACTCCTGCAGTCCAAAGAAGGCAGAGCCTCCAAAAAATTGGTAAAAAAATATGTAATATTTGTATTTTATTCTAAATTTCTATATTATATTCTAGATTATAAAACGGAGAGTTCCGGTCCTTGATTCTGATTGGTTGAGCAGTGTTCGAAGCTGTTGTAAATTACTCTACAAACATACACCTTTGTTTACGTTGTGTTGCTCGGCAACCACTTTGTTGGAACCACAACCGTTTCTGAGGAACTACATTGTTTGGTGGAAGAATACTGTTTTTATTAATATCATTACACTTTAAACCTCAGTTTTATTTTGTGAAACCTTACTACGTATATGGAATAACTCTTTTATAAAAGCAATAAGCCCCAAGAAACCGTGGTTTACAGTGAATTTATAACAGCTAAGTGGGGTTTCTTGTCGTGCCTAACAACGCCCCTTAGCTGTTATAAATTCACTGTAACCCACGGCTTCTTGGGGCTTATTGCTTTATTTTACAACTGTTCATCTACTTTCCAGTGTATGTAACTCAGATGAATACAATGCATACGCTAAATTTACCCTCAAGGACTGAATTAATTGAACTGAATTAAGTGGTTTTGGCCTGAAGTACATTAGTACAGTACACACACCTCCTGCTGATCAAACCTAGCACCGTGCTAAACCAATGCTAGCAACAGTTGAGCTACAGGTACATATGTTCACTTTTGAAAAACAGCTATCCAGAGAGTCAGAGCAGAGAATCATCTTTGTTTGCAGGGTTTAATGAAGACATCAGAGGTTTATCTCACCTAAGTTCTTAGTGGGTTGTTGCTTCTTACCCAGGGAATGACGACTCATTGTCATTACTTCTGCAAGACATATTGAATTACTTCCCATCCCACAGTTACTTTCCATCCAACCTCCAAGTGCTTGTTTAATTTGTACAAATGTATACAAATTGAAAAAATACGGTAACACTTTCCAATACGGTAGCACTTATATGCATTAATTAACGCTTAACTAATGCACAGATAATCACGAGTTAATATATAACCCATGAAGAACTAAACCATTTATTAATAATCACTGCATCATCAACAAATGAACATTCTATATGATTCATAGATTATGTAATCAATAAATTGTTATTAGTGAAATGTGTCAATGTACACTGTAAAAAATGATTGTGATTTTAACAGTAAAAGACTGTAAAAATGCTACAGTAAAAACCTGTTAACTGGTTAACAGTAAGTTTCCATACTATATACGGTGAATAAATGTAATTACATTAAATTTAATTTTACAGTAAAATACTGTTAAAAATAAGGTTTTTGGAAGTGAAAAACAAAAAGTCATTGTATAATTTACAGTGACAAACCGCAAATTGACACTCCCAGAATTCCTTGCATGACACTTAATATTTGATGTTTTTTTGTTGAAATAACATGTTTCTTAGTTTTTTCTTATCAGTTGTGTACATTAAGGTTTAATCCTACATCTAATGTTGTTAAATTAATGTTTATTGCATTATTTCAGTATCATGTGTGTCACCATGATGGGGTTTAATTCCATAATACAATTTTACATGAACTAATGTAAATTCATGTGTTAATTACCACAATGGGCCGAAGCCATGCATTTCAACTTCCGTTGTCTGCTTTAATTAATCATTAGCTAATGATTTGCAAATATATCTTTATGTTATGACTTTACTTGTTGAGGCACATGACTAGCTAACTAATTCAAAATCCATAACCATAATGACATATTACTCAACAATTAGTTAATAGTTCTGTGCCTCAACAAGTAAAGTCATAACATAATGATACCTTTGCAAATCATTAGCTAATGATTAATTAAAGCATATGTTATTAGGGAACTAATACATTATGACACATTTAACTAATAACAATTTATGTATCACTTAATCTAAGAATCATATAGAATGTTCATTAATTGCTGATGCAGTAATCATTAATAAATGGTTTAGTTCTTCATTAACTCGTGATTATCTGTGCATTAGTTAAGCATGAATTAATGCATATTTGTAAAGTGTTACCAAAAATACACTTTTTAACATTATATAATAATGTTCTGACATTATAAAATACAAATGTTCCTTCACTGTCTGAAAAAAATTAATAAAAATATCTAGTCACAAGAGGAAAAAAGTAAATATGCCAACTGTTAGTATTATTCTTCTTCTTTTTATTTCTAAGAAATCTGAACAATATCTCTTGCAGAAGTGAAGCCAGGGGTGAAGATAGTGATTGTAATCATTTGGCTCACACCAGCTGCCTCTGGCACGCACGGTTAATAAATAATCTTTTTTTAAATACTTATCCAACAGCACCCCACAATGAGTAACTTGGCTGAGCTCTCAAACAGCCGTGTGCCTTTGCAAGAAGCATTTGGCCAGCAGGAACCACAGGAGATGACAGGAGATGCATTTGATACACATTTTAACATCATATTCTGTTCAAACAAGACAGGTCTTACCGTAGTTGGGGCAGCAGACTTTGAGCCAGCACACACAAGACAATACGGTCAGGTTACTGAGGCTGCAGATACCAAACAAAACTCCACAGAAGGCATAACCCATACACATCATCTCCGTGAACAACCACCTGAAAAGAGAACAAGACATGTGCATTCGCTGAAAGCAGGGACGCTCAATCCTGCTATTTCATGCAATCCAATATTTGTTGTTTTCTGTTATTATTGCTGTTGGACCGTTTGCCTGAGGTGCTGGATTACATGTTGTAAATAATGTTCAGTTTCTTGCACAGACCAATCATTTTGCTTTATAAGACCTAAATATATCATCAGGGGCCATGGGTATTCATTTTATGCTGCCTGTATATGCTTTTTTGAGTCTCAAAGTGATGGTAGCTGTGGACCTGCATTTTATGAATCCCCAACTTTGCATTTAGTGAACAAACTCAAATTGAGAAAACGTTGTGTTAATAAGGACAGTTTTTCAGACAATAGTTGAGAGAAACTAAAAACTCAATACATAAGGTTTTTAATGCAATTTAGGCAGTTTAGTTTATTCTGTATACTATACTTGACAAGTATAATGCTAAAACTGTCCTTATGTCCTCTTGAATGCTGGTTTTTGCCTTGCAATAATAATAAGCAAACTATATAACACTGCAATTTAAACAGCAGGATGGATAGTCTGGAGTCATGTACATGCCACAAGTTATTTCAAATGATAATTTCACTGGCTGCATTAAAAATGTGTATCCGGCTGTGTGCACATCGAATACTGAGTGCTAAAGAGTAAGAAAAAAAAGGTTTAGATTGCTGCATGCAATGACTTGAGCATTATGTTCTAGGGATGCTCCGATCCGCCTTTTTTGCCTCCGATACCGATTCCAATACCTAGGGTTCGGTATTGGCCGATACCGATACCAATCCGATACCAGTTAAGTTTTTTCGCATTTAAATAAATGTAGAATTTATATATCTCTGTGTGTGGAACTGATAATCATTCTTTCACAATCTACTAGATACAGACTACTTCATTATAAAGAAAAATAAAATAGATTATAAATATACATAGGCCTATATTTTTTCATATTTATTGTTTATTTTATTTTTCTTTATAATGAAGTAGTCTGTCGTGGATGAATGGCACAACAATTAGGGATGCTCTGATCCGCCTTTTTCGCCTCCGATACCGATTCCGATACCTAGGGTTCGGTATTGGCCGATACCGATCCGATACCAGTGACGGTTTTTTTCCCTCATTTAAATAAATGTAGAATTTATATATCTCTGTGTGTGGAACTGATAATCATTCTTTCACAATCTACTAGATACAGACTACTTCATTATAAAGAAAAATAAAATAAACAATAAATATGAAAAAATATAGGCCTATGTATGTTTATAATCTATGACAAAAATTTATCATAAACTAGGTTAGTGGATAATTCGGCAGCAACAGTTATTCTAGAAAAATCAGTGCACAATAATTTTAGAAATCCAAACATTTAGTGAAAAAACAATATTTTGTGGGGAACAAATAAAAGTGTTGCACTAAATATGGTAAAATGTTTCACATTGCTATTTGTATTATTATAAAATCCATTCATTAAAAACATTCATGAATGTATTTATATATAAGTATATACTATAAAATTAAAATACATTTCTTTTAAATCTATAGCATATTTTTTAGTAAGGCAACAACATATTATAGATACGATAGGACAAAACAAATACAGTGCAGCACGAGCTGTTTTTATACAGTCTATGAGCACGAAGTGCTTACAATGTGCGCATCCGGTGTGCAGAATGATGTGCTTGAAGCAACACGGCGTCAGGCTGTGACTCCATGTTGCTTCAAGCGCATCATTCTGGACACCGGATGCGCACATTGTAAGCGCTTCGTGTTAAAAACTGCAACAACAGTTATTGAGCCTTTCTTTTAACAGTTTTAAATTTCAGTTACTGTGCACGTTAAAAACAATTTATAGTCTTTTCTATGCCCGTGTTTTGTTCTCACAGACACCCGGTAGCAAGTAACAAAACAACATTAAACTCCGGCAAGAAGATAAAGTCCTTTTTGCAAAATCATAGACATGTATTTACAAATCAAGTATAATGGGAACACAGAATGATCTTGGAGAGAGCTTTACCGAGCTGAGTGCTGTAACCGAACGCGACCAGGGTTTAAAGGCTGAACGAATGACTGACAGCCACAGCGGAGAAAAGAGTTTGTGTGAACTTTAATGTAAGGACTTAAATATTCATATGTAGCTTACATTAAGCTATCGTATGGCAAAAAACACAGAATAATTCGCACAACACACTCAAAAAAATAAATAAATCTCGGATTTGGATCGGCTCTCTCTGACCGATACCCAATCTGAGAAAAATGGCAATATCGGAGCCGATACCCGATGTGAATATCGGATCGGCGCATCCTTATTATGTGCCACCTCATGGATCAGAGATCAAAATCAGAAAATAAGGAACAGTGAAAATAAATTCCCATGATTGGTTTAGAATCATGTGGGGCAGAGTAGAATTTATTTTATTTATTTATTTATTTTAGAAAAGGGCACAAGCAGTCTCTTATCCTAAATAAAGCAGTGAACTTTGTACATAACCTATGAAGCAGTGGCAATAAGGTATATAATAATAACATTAAAGCAAAATGAGAGAGTCACTGGTCTTTACTAGTTCAATGAAAATTCATGTTGCAGTTCCATTTGATGTCTACATAATTTCCCGTTTAATTCATTTTGCCTAATTCATTTCATAAGTTCATCTCGACACTGGTCCATTTCTCAAAGCATAGCACTAACAATGCCAAAACCATGGGTCTGATTCCTAGGCAATGTGTGAAATAATAGAATGTAGATCTTCAGTGTAAGTCACTTTGGATTAAATTGCCAAATGCATAAATGTAAATGTAAATGTAACTGTAACTGTATGAACAGTTAGGGCGTTTAGAAATAACCAATAGTAAAAACCTGGAATAACAGCTCAGATTAAGGATATGTGTGTGTTTATTCAGCAAGTGTATATACTTCTATTGAAATACTTTACTAGTTTTATAGTGTCATGATGTCTCCACCTGCCTTCCCTCTTGTCCTTGGAAAATAAGTTTGCATGAAAAATGTACAGGCTTGCCAAACTCTGAATATTGATTCTGTGCTATTTGATGTAGCCCCAATAATACCAAATTAAAACAACTACTCTTGCTTTATCTTTATTCTTCATTATTTATTAGGTTCGTGAAGGGGAACACGGTTTAGTCAAGAGCCCCTTTATTGTGAACAGCAATCCAAAGCATATTTAAACTCATGAAATTTATGTTAAATTTTATTCATGTTATTATAAATCAACCATCTGCGTTGAAGAAACATGTTACAAATACAAATTAAATAATTATTTTCCTCAATTTGTATGTCTATATGTTCCAGCACTCGTGTTTTCTGAGGTTTCAAAAGCAGAGTGGTTCCCACATGATCAATGATAACAGCTGACTACACAAATAAAAAGGGAAGAAAAAAGGAATAGTATCATCAAAAAGGGTCAGTCATCTCTGAGGACCCAGATGCTGCGCTCATGTGTTTCCAGCTGTTAAATTTGATTTAATTTGCTTTTATTATGCTGACGCCTTTAAGCCGATGAGAGAGAACAAGATGACCCTCTTTAATGAGTCTCAAGAGGACACAACAGAGATATGTATATATAAAGAGAGATTGGAAACGTCCCTGATGTGAAAGAGATTTACCTGTGAGCAAAAGCAGAGGGAATAGCGAAGGGAAAGAGGGAGATGGTCATGCCCAGGTCACTGATGGAGAGGTTGATGATAAAAAACTCGGCAGGCTTTAGAGACAACTTCTTACGATAGGCTACAAACAACAGAGTGGTGTTTCCCATCAGAGACAGCACACCTGCAGTGAAAGAAAGAAATATACAATCAATCAATCAATCAGTCAGTCAAAATGAATGGTAAAGTTGCCTTGAAACAATAGCAAAAAGCGCTATAACAGGGGTGCCCAATCCTGTTCCTGAGATTTACCTTGCTGCAAAGTTCAACTCTGATCAACCCTGATCAAACACAACTGAACCAACCTCATTCTTCAGATCTCCAGGAGCTCTTGATCATTACGGACAGGTGTGTTTGATCAGGGCTGGAACTGAACTCTGCAGGTAGGAAGATCTCCAGGAACAGGATTGGGCACTGCTGCGCCATACAAACAAATGTGAATTGACTTGAAAAGATAAGGCTATTACAGTAGTACGCAGACTGAATCTGTTATTGTAAGGGTTAAACAGAGAATACTATACCTTTAGTAGCTGAAAGCATATCAGTTTATTAGATGCACAGGATGGGGGTTTTAAATGACTATCATTCCAATTCTGTGGCGATTTCTGCAGGTGCAGATTTTGTTTGGTTCTAAAGGATGTTAGGAAAAATAAACTTCAATCATGGAAAAAATTGTTATTTCTTTCTTTTCTTATTTTTTAAATAATGAATTCATTAATTGTACCATGAACACCAAAATGAAATGAGTGTTATTTGTTCACAGAGCATATAATCAAAAACCATGATTTTTGATTTGATATTTAAATAGTATTTTTTTCTGTATGAATGTTTTTGTCTTTGGGAAAAGAAAAGTTTTTAATCAATGTTAAATAAAAATTAAAGGGGTCATGAACTGAGAAACCAATATATAAAAGATCATTGTACTATAAACACATCCTGTAAGTTTCAGAAATCAAAACTTTCTCATTAGCCTAAAAACAGTTTATATTGAAGGCAGTCTGCCAAAACAACAACTTGTGGAATGTTTTACTCTATGATGTAATAGTGTGGATAAACGCCACCTCCACAAAAGAAGATCAACGCCTGTTTCGACATTGCTGCCTGTTTAGCCCCGCCCACTGATTCTACCTCACTGCCTGTTTAGCCCCGCCCACCGATTCTACATCACTACCAGTTTAGCACCCGCCCACCGATTTGACATCACTACCTGTTTAGCCCCGCCCACCGATTCTACATCACTACCTGTTTAGCACCCGCCCACCGATTTGACATCACTACCTGTTTAGCCCCGCCCACCGATTCTACATCACTACCTGTTTAGCACCCGCCCACCGATTCGACATCACTACCTGTTTAGCACCCGCCCACCGATTCGACATCGATGTCTGTTTAGCCCCGCCCACCGTATAGATTCTATGGCCATTTCTCAAATGGAAGGCTGAATCCTCCGGAGGTCACATTTGCAGGCTGCATACGTCATCAAGCCTGGTTTATTTCAGTTAACTGAGCATTACATCCGCGAGTCATAAGCATATTACAACAATGTACGCTTAACTAAGAATAATGGTCAAATTTATAACTGTTAATATTCTAAAATAAGATCTTCTTTATGACGTATGTAGCCTAAAAATGCTGGGACACGATTTGTCCCGTATTTTACAAAGGCCAACACATATTTGAATAAACAAATAAGTATTTTGCACTTTTTATAATATTAATAGCAATTATAATGAAATCAATTTCATAAGAAGTATTAGAGAAGCTCATTTGCGATTTTGGCGTCTTTGTTTCCATAGCGATAGAGTTTCCAGAACGCGCGCCGTTAAAGCCCTTTCACACGAGCGCAGCATGCGGTAAACCTGCGCGGTTTAAAAACAGGAGCTCACATCTGCCCTTTGAACACAAGACTCTCCAGATGTAGGGCTGAATGGGAACGTTATCAATGTGTCTGTCCAGTAACTAATGATGAATGCGCAGTTTGCAGAGAAGCATTTCAGTTGTTCACGGTGGACTGTCTGACTTAAAGGGACAGTTCACCCAAAAAATGAAAATTGTCATCGTTTACACACCCACAAGTTGTTCCAAACCTGTAATAATTTCTTTCTTCTGTTGAATATAAAAGAAGATAAATAATGTGGGTAACCAAACAGTTTCTGGTCCCCAGTGACTCTGATAGTATTTTTTTTTTTTACCTTACTATGGAAGTTACAACCAGCAGCTGTTTAGTTGAGACACATTCTTCAAGGTATCTTCTTTTGTGTTCAATAGAAGAAAGAACTTTATGCAGGTTTAGAACAACCTGTGTAAATTATAACAAATTTAATTTTTGTGTGAACCATACCTTTAAAGTGACAGACACATGCTTCTAAAGGTATAGGCCTATTGTTTTATTAAAATTTTGATATTAATATATTAAGATTAATATAATATTCCATACATTATCAGAGCTTGGTAGACATAACCAAGACATAGTAGACATAGTTCGTGAATGGGTGTCCCTTATTTTGCCTCACTGAAGGTGGCAACCCTAGTCTACACAGAAACCAAATGATAAAGATGCTGTGAAGACAACAAGATGCTGTGCAGAGCCAAGCCATGGAAAAACAGTATTTGCATCGCCTTCCTTCTGATCCCAACAAAACTAAAGACGATGCTGTGTGACGATACTGGATCTGACAGTAATATCACAACACACAAGTGTGAGTAAATGTTTTCATTACATGCTCACTACTGCTTTTTCTTTTAAACAGATTGTTTGATAAGTACTGAGTATTTATGCGCTTTTAACCTAAATCACAGCAGCGTCCATCTGTGAAGGATGTAGCCCTATTAAACCTACACAACTATTAGCCAATCATTACTTCAGAGTCTACAATCAAACAGAGCATTCTGATCAAAAACAGGACAGGAACTGGCCTATTACTTCTAAATTATGATGTTTTTTAAGCAAAAATATTGATAACATTTTAAGTGGACCTTAGAGAACAGCATGTGATGAGAGGGGTGGAGCCGAGAGCCGTGGGAACGGAGCGAGGCCGGTGGAGTAAATGCTAATGCACGACACCTGTGCCACTCACCGGTCTCGAGTCCCACGGAGGAGCTCCGGAAGGATAAAAAGGAGGAGTGACGACAGTGTTGGACGAGAGAGGACCAGGCCTGGATTTTATTTTGTGTTTTGGTTTTGTTTGTGCGCGACAGTCGTCCGCGAGGGGCTGTCGCTCTATTTTGTGTTTGTTTATTTGATTAAAGTTTTTTTTAAATGTTCGTCGGTTCCCGCCTCCTTCTTCCCGAACTACGAACTTTGTTACACAGTACAAAAACAAAAACAAAGGTAGTTCATAACCCCTTTAAAGGTTTGCAAACCATAAATATAATTTGAGCGAGAGAGAGAGAGAGAGAGAGAGAAAGTATTTTTCAATATAGAATTAATCTTGGTTCAGTATTAACATGATTCTCAGTTGCTATTCTTAATTAAAGGGGTCATATGATGTGATTTCAATTTTTCCTTTCTCTTTGGAGTGTTATGCCGCCATGTCGTTGAGACGCTGTGTGTTTCCTTGTGAAAGGGAAACTACTTTGTTTGGCCTTCCAAAAGAGGACACGACTAGAAATCAGTGGTTAAGTTGTATTTACAACACTGTTCCAGAACACTTCAACCCAAATATTCAGATGTGTGCAGCACATTTTGTGGAGGGCTTTGTAAAAATCGAAAGGCGTTTCAGAAAGGCGGGGCATAGAGGAGAAACAATAATGTACAGTATGTGGAAAATAATGTTTTTTGAACCTTAAACCGCATAAACACATTGCATTACACCAAATACACAAAATAATGTTCTTTTTAGCAACATCATATGACCCCTTTAAGCTTATGCTTTATAATAAGGTGCTTACAGAATTAAAAACAATGTTAAGCCAATATTTTTAGGCTACTTTGACACACACTTACCAAAGATGGTGTAGACAGCTCCCAAGAGCAAGTCATTCTCTTTCGATATTTTGGAATGAAACATGTCAGTTCTGGATGAGTTTTCCATCTGTACAGAAGAAGAAAAGGAGCAAATGTAAGACCAGTATGCAACATCTGCATTTGTTTTATTTTGCACACCATCCTCTTTAAATCTGAAAATCCATGTTGTTGGACTCAGTCCTTTTCCCAGAATTGATCAATGATCAATGCATTTCCATTAGCACCTGCTCCAGTTTAAAAGATGAGAAGGTCTCCAGAAACGAGAGAGTCTCATTATGTCTTACCATAAATCAATTTTGCTCTGAAGTGCACACAGTCCACATGGCACTGGAGATGTAGCATGTGCGCACTGATGCATACAGCACACACACACTCACAGCACTAGATCATGACGGTGTGCGTAGAGACTCTGAATGGGACCACTGGATGAGATGATGAAAATAGTGAATCATACTACAATCCTATAACATTAATCTGGAGTAGTTTAAATAGAGCACAGAGAATATTCAGAGGCAACACATGCGTGGTAATATGTCGGTACTTCTATTGCTTTCTCATTACTAACACATTTTGCCTTCCTCCACTTTCATCTTTAGCCTGCGGGCACCTGACCCAGAGGAATATATCACACACAACAAATGATCCAGCGCTCCATATCCTCTCTCCCAGCCTACGGCAAGATACTTTATCATACAAAATATCGCTTTTTGATATCAAGAATAAAACATTTATATTCATCCCACAACCAACAGATCGGATCCCCCGCAGTCCGTTCAGGAAATGCTAGGTGCAAGACAACAGTTCTTACTTTGATTTATGAATTTGCCAGTTTTGCTGTCAGCCAGATGTGAAAGTATGGGTTATTTGATTGATGCTCTTGAGTGTCGAAAGCTTTCACACGGTGGACAGCAGAACATCTTGCCAACATCAGTTAGCAGTCTCACCAGCAGATATACATATGAATGAAATCACTGAACATCAGACAGCAGACACTTAACATCTCATGTTCAGTATAGAATTAATCCTTCACAGCCTAAGATTAAAAAGGCCATTAATATCCTCAATTAAATGTCTCTCTGTTTTCAATTTGACAATTATCTGTGTAAGTCTTGCTCCTGGGTGAGTCTCTGTAACAACATTGGGTCACACTTTATTTTGAGGCCCAATTCTCACCATTAACAAACCATTAACTATGACATTTGCCTCAATAAACTCCTAATTTGCTGCTTATTAATAGTTAGTAAGGTAGTTGTTAAGTTTAGGTGTTGGTTAGGATTAGGGATGTAGAATATGGTCATGCACAATATGTGCTTTATAAGTACTAATAAACAGCCAATATTATATTAATAGGCATGATAATAAGCAACTAGTTAATAGTGAGAATTGGTCCCTCTACTAAAGTGTTACCCAACACTGTATTACATCAAAACAAGTATTTTGAGCACTAGACTTTTAATGTGTAAAAATCAACAATGGTAGTTGGTCTCCGGCAAAAGGTATGTTTAAAATGAATTGATTATGATAATACAGCTACATACCTCTCAACTATATAATTGTCATATTATTGTAACGGGGCGAACGAGACGTGAGACGTGCGGATCCATATGCAAGGCTTTATTTCCAAGACGTGGTCATATAACAGGCATGGGTCAAACAATGGCAAACAGGTATAACGTGGGCAAGACACAAGAGTAGTCCAGTAAACGGGCGTGGTCGATCTCAGGCAAACAATGTCTAAACAGGGTAATCCAAAGGAGTAATCCGAAACACAAGCGATAGTCCAGGCAAGTGGTAAACAGTATCCGAACAGGGCGAAATCCAAGACTGGCGAAATCGTTCAGGGCAGGCAGAGAACAGGCGAAACTAGAAAACAGGCTAGAGTACAAACACGGGAAAACAGACTATGAACAAGATTAAGGCTAGACTCAGAAAACTTGGAATGGCTTCGTGAAGTAGCTATCGCTGGAAGAATGATAAGTGCAAAACAATACTCGGCCGTTTGAGAAGAATCTGAGTGAGTGTAATATAGTGTGTGTGTGTGATTGGTTACAGCTGTGTGCAATCAGTGCAATGGATGATGGGAAATGTAGTCCGTGGTGACGTGTAACTGTCTGTGTAGTGAGAGAGTCAATATGATGGACGAGTGTCCTCTGGTGGCGATCGGACGGAAGTCCATGGACAGGATTCGTAACAATTATATTCTGTAACTGCGATTTCAGAGACGTTCAACAGTGTATTTATTAAAATATTTATCAGTTTTATCAGATCTCAGTATTATATTCATTATCTGACAAGTGGGCAAATAGGAAAATAAAAATCCATTGGAAGAAAAAATATATATATCACAAATTAGATCTACAGTGCTTATCTCAACTCTCTAAATAAATAAATTAATTAACATACAACAATAATAATAATAATAATAATAATAATGAGATTAAAGGAAGAGCAAACAGAGACTCAATATTAATCTCACGTCTCTCCAGAAGAGTTTCAAAAGATCTCAACAATGTCTCAAAATGGGCAAATAATGATTCAGATGTAGACTACGCCTATTGACTTTGATGATACTGATGCTTTATGTTTATTAGAAGCATGTTAGTTAGGATGGATACTTTTATGTTACACAGAAGAAAAAAGGAATATGAGGAGTAAATTATGACAGAAATTTAATTTATGGGTGAACAGTCCATCTAATATATCAAAAGTTGGTTTGAAATATGGGGTGATGGATTGTACAGTCATGCATTCATGAATAAAAACAAAATTATACTTTCTTTATAGTGGTCTGACACTATAAAGCATCGGTCTCTTATTCTGTCCAGGCAAGAAACTGAAAATCTGCCTTATCTATGCTTTAATCTCTGGTTAAATATGAATCATCTGTTAATAAGGCTTTTCCAATAAAATGTATAGTATGTCTGGAGCAGTCTGTGGGGTATAATCTCTGATTTATCATGATTCTTATGACTCATATTATTACACTATTATAATTTAATGGCAGCTCTGATTATAGGACCATATCTCTATATTTGTGTGCTCCTGGTGTATCAGACTCCTTGTAACATATCCTCAATAATTAATTGAATGTTTGTCTAACCATAAAAATGGGTATATTGCATATTTAATTGCATGTTTGATATCAAAATAACCCTTGTTACCTCCTCATAGCATGCTTTGTATTCTTATTATATTGAGTCAGAATAACATCTTTGGAGTTTAGTGTTAGTTATGTGTTATTGTTTAGTCAATAAAACTTTTGTGCACAAATTACATGAGTTGTTGATTCTGTTACTGCTTGTGGATAATGTGACTAGCTACATGCTCTAATGCATTAGTACTGTAAGAAAGTTATTTTCTGTGGCCACGAAAATATAATTTCTTATAGCTGATATGAAATTACACTGAATGTTCGCTGGACGAACAGATTAGTCGATTGCAATATTAATTATTCTACAGTTACTACTGGCAGCTGAAATAAATAATCATATTTAATTGTAATTATTTATATGCATTTTTCTTTTGAGCTAATTTAGACATGCTTACTTTTAGATGATTGTGAGTTTTACAGTATGCAAATCTTTTTCGACTTGTGGCAGAGACTCCCTATGCAATATTTTTCTAAGAGATATGGCCCGCTTATTTATGGTCCCTGTCTTCCAGCCTCTTGAATGTCAGTCAAGGATAAATCGAGGAGAATAGAACATAGATTTATCTTGACAAAGGAAGATGTATTTCCCTACACAAGAGACACAACCAATCTGCATTTAAAAAGTTATATTAAAAAAACCCTGGAAACTGAAATTGGTAGTGATCTCAGTGAGATTGAGTCATTGGCTGTTTCTTAATTCTAAGAAGGTAAAGAACGGACTCGTGTTCTTGTGGAGATTGGTCTTGCCATCTTGCGGTCGGTCTTGCGGTCTTAAACCAACTGTGAAGGACTTGAGGATACAGAACGCATCTTTGTGAGAACTGAGATGTGTCCTGATGCCCAACTGTGCTTTGTCAATTTTTCAGATTTTTTTTTTTATATGTCAATAAAAAAATACTGCAGGCTTTAAATTATGCAAAATAAAACAAACAAATATTGCACATTTGATGGACACTTTACTATCCCGTGAGGCCACGGGAGAGGATTTATGAATGGCAGTGAGGCGACACAACTGACGCTGGTAGGTCACGAGACAGTGACAACATGGAGAATGTAGTGCATCCAGAATACATTCATACTAAACACATTCATACATGGAACGTATGTCTATTCTGGTCTGAACGTTTATTGTGGCCGCAATTACGCTCATCATTATCAGTGCTAAAATGTTCAGATGCCACGAGAGTGTTTGTATAGTTTTGCTTACAGCGGTGTATTATTTATTGCAGTTTTGCATCTTTATTTTTAACTTCATTGTGATTACGAATACTGACATTTGTTGAATATATTTTGTATTTGAATGGATTTCTCTGCTGAGTGTCATTTGTAAAGGCCGACGGTCGGCCGTTAGCCAACGTCGGTCCGATGTCGAGTAACGGTCGGGCTAGTTTGTTTGGTGTGTTCCACTCGTCGGCTCTCGTCGGGCTCACGTCGGCGGCAGTTTGCCCGATTCAACACGGCACAAGTGAGAGCTCTGATTGGATGTTCAGTTTGGCGAAAGAGTCAGTGCCCGAGAATTAAAGAGAAAGTGATGAAAACAAGCACCTAAATGAAGGTGGTACAGACAGAAGGCTGTTTAAATGTTACGTGATCTTTCCCAATCATTCTAATACGCGAATGTTATAACAACATGAGCCGCTTAAAATGATTAAAGTTATCAACGATACTGATATTCAAAATTGTAAGCAAGCGCTGCTTTGTTTACGTTTCGTATATCTGCGTTTATCTTGTATATCTTTGTTTCGGTTTCTCCTTTTGAATGACGAATATATACTAATGATAGCTGCTGATATGGACAGCTCGTTCCTCTCACGCATGCGCAGAACGCACGTGTTAGTTTGCCGTCGGCTGTAGTCTGTGCAGTGGGTTCGAGCGCAGCTTTTTGGTCCGTCGCTGCCGACGCGAGGCAACAACAC